AGACATAGGGCAGGCACGAGGCGAGCCCGAGCTCCCAAGGGAAAAAAAAACATGCTTGGTTCTTCCGAATTGGCCCTTTGAAGCTCTGGCTTTTAAATTCGCCTCACGCCGCGAGGTAGGGCTGTGCTTTTCCCACGGTCCGTCAGGCCTTGGCACCTCCTGCTTTGCAAAGTCCCCTGAATTTTTTTCCCGATTCCCTTCCTAGCAGGAGAGAACTAAGGAAGAAACACCCCGCACAGCTATATGTATTTACAGGGAAGGATGCCCCCTGCCCGCCAACCTTTTCTTTTAGCGGGTAAGGATGTTTTTCGTTCTGTAGAAACCCATACTCAATCCAAACAGAAATCCATACTAAATCCAAATTAACACCAAAGCGGTTCCTCGTGATTTATGTCGTTATAATAAATAACAGCAGCCGTGTACCGCTTAGCTGGTGATTAATGATCCTTATTTACAGTAGGCTCAGTTTGGGCCTGCAGTTTACAGTTACAAACATCAAAGGAGAGTTCAACTTTTCTTTCCTCCTGGCTTTTGAGGCCACATCATCAATCCTGCCAGAGCGGCTTGGACGGCTGCGTTTTAATTCGCAAATCGGATTTGCCCTAACGCGGCCACCAGAAGCAACGCGAACGTGACCCGAGAGTCGCTGCGGTGGTTTCCTTTCTGCCCGGGGCGCGTCCAAAGGCCACCGAGTCCCACCACCCCGTGGCAAGGGGCGCGTGGTCCCCGCACGGTCCCCGGGGCAGCCCAAAACACAAGGCGGGCAGGAAGGGGGACGGCGCGTGAGCGTCTTCCCAAAAAACTGCCTCTTCCCCCCAAAATCCTGGGCACGGCTGAGCCCCGGGCAGGGCAGATCCAAAAGGATTTTTTGATGAATGCCTTTTTTTTTTTTAACGGGAAGCACCACGTCCTTAATTAAAGCTGCAGTTTCATAGCAGAGCGGTGCAAAAGCAGCATCGCTGAGCACAGGCTTGTACCTTAGGTGAGCAAATAGCAGCGACATTTTGGCACCGCGCTCCTAGCAAAGGCTCAGTGAGTGAGTCCGTGGGATTCGCCAGTCTGGTCAGATTTTGCAAATCCCGCTCGGCAACGCAGCCCTGTTTAATCCAGCCAACTTCAACCTGATGACAGGGATGATTTTCACCCCGACGTGCGACTTTTGCCTTTGCTGCCATCCACTGATGCGCGGCCAAGAGCTACTGACGGGGAAAACAGCCCTGGACCGAGTCGGTAACGAGGACGGTCAATCGCCGAAGATGGACGCAGTAGGTCTGCTGGCACCACGGGTTCCCGCGGAGGCTCGGAGCCGCATGAGGCGCCAGCCCAGGAGTAAATGCTCCTTTCACGGTGCTGCCCTCCCTGGGGAAGCTTAATAATTTCTAGGGAGGCACTGAAGGCTAATAAAAAAATTAAAAAATAAAGAACTCAGCCCAAACCACCACTCTCCTCCTTTTTTATCCCAAACCACCGCTCTCCTCCTTTTTTATCCCAAACCCAGCAAAAGCGGGGCTGCCTTGGTCGGACTGTAGCAGATGCAGGGCTGACTGGGCTGATTCCCGGAGCAGAACCCATCCACCGACGCTGCAGCCGGCTTTGCGGTGATAGAGGGGAATGATTATAATTGTCGTATAATCTGAATAAGCCTACGGACGCGATTTTTGCACGTTTCGCCAACAACCGAAGGCACTTAAAGAAGCATTTTGGAAGGAGTGCGTGAGGATTTGTGAGACACAGGCTCCTCGGCACCTATCAGTAGCTGTCTCCAGACACAGCCCGGTGCAAGGTGGTGTGATTTTGCGTTAAAAGCCAAGCCGCAGGCTGTGACGCAGTGGGCAAAGAGGATTCCCCTTCAGCTTTGTTTGCACTCTTTAAACAGGATTCTAGCTAGGAAGTTTGCAGAGCAAGATGTGGTCCCGCTGCGGGGTAGATGTCAGTAGGTTTTGGGCCGGGGCTCCAAACCTGGACCATGCTCCTGACCCGCCTCAGCTGGGTCTGGCCCAGCTGTTTTGGGGAGTTATGCTCAAGATTTGGGTCAGAAAGGCATCTGGAGCTCCTACACCTTGTGAAACTCCCAGGGACAAGGACCACCTGGAACATCTGGTGCACAGCTCTCTAAGGGGGTGGATGCCCGCAGCTTTTCATTTGCTCTGCTGATTTACCCCAGCTGAGGCCCTGGCCCCTAGCCAAAAAAATAATGCCTCTTTGCTGCAGAGCTATTACTCCCTTAGGGTTGGCTTGAGCTGGGCTGGGCTGAGTTTGGTTTTGGGCTGCATGCTCTGGTTTGGTGCGCCCCCAGCAGCACAGCAGAGCCTAACGGCACCGAGCGCTGCCAGCTCAGGGCAAACCTGCGCGTTTGGCCTGGCAACTCTTTCAGGGAGGCGAGCAGCTCCCAAAGAGCGCTTCCTTTAACTGGAAAGCAGCCTCCGCTCTAATGAGGTGCTAGAAAGAAGCGGTAATTAACTGAATTTCACCCAGGGTGTCTCCAGGCCTGCCTGCCTTGGTCACTGGTTTGTTCGTCCTTTTGAAGACGCAGCAAAACGGGAGGGCCGTAGCCTCCAGCTACCGTAAGGCCAAGAGGTGAGTGCCGCGGTATAGCCCAGAAAGCATTACATCTTGCTAATGAGGCTCGTGATGGGCTTTGGCTGCCCACCGTGAAGCCCACGGGAAGCTGCGATGTCCTTCGAGGCTGTGCCAAAGACACCGCCGCGCCGCTCACCACAGCGGTGGCCAGCACCGGGGCAGCCGCGCGCAAAGCCCCTCCGTAGCCCGCGGGGTCGCCAGGCAGAGCCCGCTCGGTAGCAGCGGCCCTCTCGGCGTGCGTCTCTCTGCAACTCCGCTGGCCTCGTTAAAGGTGCACTGCTAATTGGCTGCGCGGACCCTGAGGGAGCTATTTTAATTGGCCTGCAATCCGGCTGGCAGCATTTTAACGTAAATGCATGCCTGTTTTGCACGAGAATAACCTAATCAGGTCTGGCTATGGGCGGGAGGCGGTCTCATCCTACTTCTTCCTAGTTGTGGCCTGTTGCAACGCTTTAATTTGCAAGGCTCCGACTGGGAAATAGCCACTGCGCATTAAAGAGGGTGGCTGCAAAAAAGCCCCTTTCACTGGCAGCGAAGATGCAGGCAGTAGAGGGCTGAGAGCTCACCTTGACCCCGCTAATGGAGGTAAAAACCTCAATTATTGCCCTGTCTTCCCTTGAATTTTATCTCATGCGCGTTACCATAAATCCTCCGTTTCTCCTGCGTGGAAGAGGCGCTCCGTTTTCCGTTTGCTTTTTGGCGTTGGGCGAAGACCTGACCCCTTTGGAGAACAGGCTTCCAGACCCCAAACCGCTCGGACCCACCGCTTCAAATTCAAATTCAAGAGCCCGCGTTAAGCCGGAGGGCAGGGGCGAGGAGCACAGCGGTGCTTTGGGCCTTAAACCTGGTGGGAGCCCCATCAGTGATGTCCCTTCTCTCCCCAGCGCGAGGCCCTCCGCATCGCCCTCGCCGGCAATGGCGTATTTCCAAAAAATTGCTTAAAGCCGCAATTATGAGGGAAAAGAAACGCAGCCGAGACGCCCTCAGCCAAGGGACTCCGGGTGTTGAAAGGTGCCAGCAGGACCCCTCGGGGCGGCTCGGGTTCATAGGCATTTTGTGGCCTTTTCCAGACCCGAGTGACCCGACGGGAGCGAGGTTTGGCCCAAAAAGGGCTTTGTTCAGCCGGGCTCCTCGAGCCGGCTTTCGGTACCGGCGCTGGCCGGGCAGGCAGCACGAGGAGCGAGGCCAGCGGCAACTGAGCGCCAGCCGCCTTCCATGCTAATGCTGTTCTTGCTATTTCAGTGCCATCTTGCTCGTTTCCACCCTCTCCCCAAACAACTAAATTAATTAGGGTGTTTTTTTTCTTTTTTTTGAAATTTAAATACTGTCGTGGAATAATAATTCTGGCGAAGTCATGTCTGTCGCTCCCCACTGCTTCCTTTCTCTACTGCTCTCTCCTCTGACAACGCTGCCGATATTTTGTTATAGCTATGCAAGATCACAGCTGTTGTCTGCCGGAAAAAAAAAAAAAGGAAAATCACACGATGCGCTGTTACCATCCAACAACCTTTTTTTTTTTTCTTTCGCTAGCTTCCAAAAAACATTTCCCCTATTAAGGGCAGGAGCTTGCAGGCAAAAAAAAAAAAAAAATCTCAGCGACTGCAATGAAACCGTACATGTTTTAGGAGGCCAGGGCCCCATCCTGACCCTCTAATATGTTTACTTGGGCATGTTCATTGCATCTCAGAAAACCCTTTCGGATCCAACCAACTCACAAGATCACTGCCCCCCGTGAAAGGACAGGAAAGCCTTATTGACCCTGAATGTATTTTCACAACAGAGGTCAGGCTGAGATAACCTGTGCTTAATTTTGGCCCTTCTGAACAGCTTTTCTCTGCTGATGGGTTCCCATTTCCAGTCCTCTTTCCCGGCCCCGTGACGCCAGCCCTCGGCGGCCGAATGCGGTGAGGCTGAAGCCGAGCAAAGATCAGGCTTGCGAAGCGCCATCCCCTAATCAGCAGCTCAAAGGGATAAATGGAGAGAGCCAGGAAGGCGACTCGAATCGGCGTCTCCAAGCCCCCTGCTCCGACCGCAAAATTGATTTGAATCAGTCTCACAATCCACGTAACCAATTATGAAATTCCTCCTCGACTCTCTGGCCCCAGACTTGTTTAGCCCTAGCGCTGTGCATAACTGTGCTTTGCTTTGCTCTGTGATTTCTCAGAGCATTCTTAAATTAAGCTCGATTGAAGCCCATGCACTTCCAATTAACATACACGGGCTGCATGATCGCTCCAGCGGGTCCTGCCCAGCGCCACTGCTCCCTGTTGCCTTGAACGTGTGTTATTAGGGGGGCTGAAGTGAGACTGCATTAGCGAACGGGGATGAAAAGCTTGTTTTCCCACCGGTCTGCAGCTTTCATGTCACGCTTGCGGAGAGATGATGCACGCGGTCACGCCGAGCGCTCCTCTGGCCTTTCCTGATCTCAGCCTTTCCGACGAGCTTAGCTCCTTGCTCGGCAACGGACACATGGAGCTGTCTTGGCAGTTGCTCGGCTCTTTTGGAAGCAGAGTCCTGTAAAGGAGATGTTTCTGCAGGGCCTTGGAGGGCTTTCGACGAGGAGGGCCCAGTGACTTGGAGGGCTCTGGGTAGATGTACGTCAGATGCCGGGAGGACACGCTGGGGTTTGCGTTTTTGGGTAGCTCTCCTGAAAACCCCACTGTGAAACCGCTTCATCCTGCAACCCGCTTCTGAAGCAAGCACCCCATACACGGGTAGCGTGAGGACTGCTGCAAGCATCGAAGCTAGGGCAGCGTCCCTGCCCATCCCCTGATGCGTACCGCATCAGGGTACTCGTAATTACGCTACTCGTAATTTTTAAGACTGATTTTAGCAGTTTATTTCTTAGTAGTAGCTGTGTAATCCCGGCTGGTCCTGGAAGCAGAAGGCAGTCTCCTCTGGGAAGACGAAGGGGAGGATGAGAAACCTGGCGCAGGCTTTCTGAGACAGCACACTATTCGCTTCTGCGTTCAGTGTCCTGGAAGCAAGGCTGGGGCACGTCCTACCTCAGGAGAGGACACGGTGAAGCTATAAGGCTCTGCAGGGAGTAGGCACGATTGCGATATGGCAAAAAAGATGATTCAGCCTCTGGTGGTAGCTGTTACATACGACGTACTTGCCAGATGCTTTAATCCCCTAAATAGTTTTTAACTACTTCTCCCTGGATTTCAATTAAATTCCCTTAAGTATGTAAACTTTTGCTTGTTTGGACCAATACCTGCAGACTTGATTGCAGTAACAGATGTTTTATTTTTACCTGCAAGTATAAATGGAGAGCATATATCATGACCATGACACGTTTTGTATGAAGCAGATGTTTCTATTAATGCTACAATTGGGTGGAAATTCAAAGGATGCTTTTTGCTTTTTTTAAAAGATCTATTTTACCCAATTAAACTACAACTTGCTGAAGTGTTCCAGTGAATCATTCCCCCCCCCCCTTTTTTTTTTTGGATTAGCAGACTCTAAAGGGACAAAAGAATAGCTTTGTATCACAGTTTCCCTCAATTAAATGTAAAGTACATCTGGACAGAGACTGAAGATCCATCTTTCATTGGCAGTTGCAAACCCATTGACATAATAAAATAATATTCTGATTGGTATTACAAGACTGCATTTAAATCATTGGCATTCATGCTCCGAGTCCTTTGCAGGGAGCGCAAGCCCTCCATTAGAGGAAAGCTTAATTTTATACTGTGATCTGTTTTAAGATATGCAATGAAAGTGAGGGGGAAAAAGAGCTTTTGCAGAGCTGGAGACATAATAGAAGCTACACTGAAAGTCCGGGCAACGCTTTTGGTTACTTATAAACTGCAGGTGTCAAACGCATTCTGGAAAGAAGCTGAATTCTAGTTTTAATTACAGTCAGCAGGTTGAGGCATAATTCAAGGCTTGGTAATACCTTCCATCCATAACAAAACTCATCCTGCTATCAGTGAGAAGTTTACACCAACATCGAGAGAATGTGACCTCCTTGCAGTAGCTAAACTCTGAACTTCTGAATCCCACTGTAAAATCCTGAACACGCTCGATATTTAAGGTATCTGTTCTTTGCATGATTGTCTCAGTGAGCCTTAGCATCAAATGTGAACTGAACTAGTAAAGCTCCTCTGATGATCAGGGTGAGAAAGACCTGTCATTGCAGCTTTCATCTAAAGGTTCCCTGGGCTCAAATTAGCTTTGGAGAAAAAAAAAACCCAAAACAACAAAAAAAACCCCTCTCTGGTTGGAATTGTGTACGTGAATGAAAAATCAAGCGTCACGTGTGCCTTCCCAGGCCTTACAAGGTAAGTGCCACCCGGCTTTATCAGCAGCTTCCACCAGCAGTAGTAACTTTGTTGAACTCAAAAGGCTTTAAGTTTGCTGTGTGCTTGAATACCACCACGTACACCAACATCCTGGCCCAAAACCGAGCCCTTGAGGCCTTATGCTGATAAAGAGCAATATAAAACTCTTCTGTCTACCGACTCTTCTGGGAAAAAAAAGCAGGACACGCATGCTGGTATGCTGCACTCAGCTGCTGGTGGTCTGCTGCTCAACAGTAAGCAGTGGTCTTATTTAAAGCCTGTAGGCAGAGTCTTCAAAGAAGAAAATCATGCCTTATTACGTGGGAAAACACAGCTACAGAGTTACAGGGTGGTCAAGAGTCTGGGGTGGCAGATGAAGACACAGTGCCTCTTGGGAGAGGGAGGCTGGGCAGATGCAAGGATTTTCTGAGCAAGGGAAACACTGCTCAGGAAAACAAGACTGTTTGGAGCAAACTTCTTTATGTAAGAGGTTTTCACAAATATACTTACCTTGTACTATGCTTCTGCTGGAACAAAGAGGCTCTGAACGTTGGCCAAAAGGACAAACTGGGGCCAGCTGGTGGAGCAGTGTTCCTGGGCTGACTGGGTGTGGGAAGCTGTGTCCTTGTCCTCTCCAGCCTCTGCTATGGCCGGGACTGGCCAGTCTGCCACAAGGAGACTGAGTGGCCGTCAAGGGAGAGGACACCGGATTTGGGAACGACAGGTCAGATCTCCGAGGTCGAACACGCTCTTGAGGTATTATTGAACTGCAGGTACCAAATACCGGCAAATGCCTGGAGCTAGAGGACTTAGGCTAGAGATTACACAGAGCTGGTGTAAACTACAGGAATAAACCAAAACAACTGGAAGCACTGATTTTGAAATAATTGTATTTGTACTGACATAACCCACACGAATAGAAAAGCTTTATGTCATTACGAAAGACGGCCCCCACCAATGGCATATGCAACTCATAGTACATAACACCTACATCCTCACAACACCCCTGTGAGGTAGGGCAGCGCCATGAACCCCATTTTACTGGTGGGGAAACTGTCAAAACCGAGCGACTTTCTCATGGTCAGCCAGCAAGTCTGTTACAGAGCAAGGAGTGGAGCGTGGGTTTTCAGAGAGGGCGGCCACGGGGCTGCCTCTCTGTCAACCCCCCTGCACTGCCCACAGCTCCTCTGCTCCATCACGACCGTTCGTCCTGTAAGCAAATAGCCACCAGCAGCAAGAGCAGGTGATGTCAACTAAGTCTTCACAGGCATAAAAGTGATCATAAAACAAGAGCTGGGGGAGGAAAAAAAAAAAAAAAGAACCTGTGGAAAGACCAATCTGATTTGTAACCAAATGCCAGTTTTTAACTTTTCACCATGCTCCTAGTAACAAAATTAAGTGCATATCAAAAAAAAAAAAAAAGAGTACTTTAAGAAAATGTGACTTTTTATTCCCAGCACTCTAGAATCATCCAAAACAGGGCAAGAAGAACTCCCTGGGGCCATCAGGTCTATTCCCCAAGCTTTGATACCCTGTGGTTGGGTCCCCTCAATAGATGGAGCTTATGGTGCTATTTTGGCTACTTGTGTCACAGCTGTCCGACGCCACATCGGGATCCAGGCTATCAGGCTCTGCTTGATCTTTAGCAAAGTTGATGAAAACCTAGAAGTTTAAAGGAAAATATTTAGCGTGTGACAGTCTAAAGAATTAATAATATAAATGAAGAAAAGAGAGGAATGGCTGCTCATTTGACTGTGAGGCTGGAGAGAGTGCTCAGGAACGTATTCACACCGGATTTTGGAATTACAAATGTTGGGCTTTTTTGGTCTAATATAAATAAATGGATGCATACTCCTATACCTCTACATCTGCACTCAACTGAATAGAAACCTAGGGATGCAAAGCTAGACGCTGCTGTATAAAACCTAATTGTCCTGCAGCTCATGCTTCAAAAGTACTGGCGAGATATACTGCTGTGTAGTAGCTTTCTGTTCACTGTGTAACACATCTATATTCTTATTTTACACACCCATCTATCTCTATGTAATTGGCATCCACACTTACATATTATATAAATATATATAACCACAGTCTCCATGTGAACAGTACCTAATGAATGCACATTCTTTCTAGATCACTTTGTGATCACATTTGCACATGCACAAATCTACGTTGTCCTCCCACAAAACATCACCTGGGGCTTCCTGCTGTAGGTCTGCCTGTTTCTCTCATACCCACAGCTCCTTTTTAAAACAATACTGAGGGTCTCCTTACCCCCTCCCTCTGTTCAACAATTCACAGGATCACAGGGTTGCATTTTTGCTCCTATCTCTAGGGCTGACCTAATATTCCAGACGCTAATGCTCCATAGGATGCTTTCTTGTGGGTAGTCTTTACCGTTGAGGTGTTTCCTAGAAGATTTTGATGCCAGTGGGAATGTTCTTCCAAGACAATGGAAGGAACATAACCATGAAGCTAAGTCTGGTGTAATGCTAAACGAACTTGCAATCCAAATATGGTATAAGGAAGAGCAGAATCAAGAAAATTTCCAGGATCAGTGGACAAAGTCTACTGTTAGCAAGCCTAGCAGTGGGCTCAGGGGTGATCCATGATCCTGCCCTTCATGAAACTGCTGAAATCAAGCGTTGCACAAACATGACAAAAGGAGGAATAGATCCTTTACGCTATAGGCAGCTTTCCATGTGTGTTTTGCTAGTACCAGCACAGCCATCTGGAGGCAGTAGCGTTGAAAAAAGGGCTCCCAGGAGGATTATGGATGGAAATCCCTTTCAAAATGCAGTCTGTTGTGTGCAACAGTCCACTATGGTAACCATCAGTCTGTTCCCCTGTTAACAGTTTTAAACAGAAGGCCACACATCTTTAATTCCTTACCTCCTCTAACGTCGTTTGACTCACTGAGAAGTGCCTGATTTTGAAAACTGTTTTGTTGGTTTCCAAAAGATCAAATATGTTTGCTACTCCTCCTGCAGAGACTGGTACGTGATACTCCACCATGTTGAAATGCCGATCCTGTAAGAACAGGAATGATAGGGTAAAGGCAAGAGACTGCCACCTATAAAAATCAACAGATCTGATGGCCATTTGGCTGAATGTGAAAGTAAAAAGGAGCCATTTCA